TTTGAAAATTCAAAAATAAGGTTTTTTTAAAATTTTTATTTATCAAATAATAAATTATTAAATATTTAATTCTAATATAATATAATTAACACATCTACATGTACCACCCATATCGCTCCGGAGACTATTCCAGTGACCATTCCGACCACCACTCTTCTTCGGCGATCGTTCCGACGACTGCTCCGATTCCGACAATTATTCCAACGACTATTCCGGTGACCATTCTGGTCACAGATTTACAATTTAAGGTTACATCTCAAAAATTTTATAGGTCACAATTAATTTGTTGGTCACAGATTTCAAAATTTGTTGGTCACAGATTTCCAAATTAATTGTTCGCAGATTTTTTTATGGTCACAGATTATATAATTTTTTGGTCACAGATAAAAACATGGTTGGTCACGGATTATATTTTAGTCACAGATTACCGAATTTCAAGGTCACAAATTATATTTTTAGTCACGAAACCAAAATCACAAACACTCTTCATCCCGTCGCCATTGCCACTGCGACAACCACCACCATCACCACCACCACCACCACCACCACCAATAACAATACAACACCACGAACACAGCATCACCAATATAAGCACTACCATGAATCTATGCCCATATGCTGTTTTTCAAGCTCCCAAATTATGCTTACGAAGAGAGAGTTCAGTACAGTAGAACTTCTAGCAGAGATTATTTTGGTGCTGCAGGAGGAGCTTTGAGGGCAACTCCATCTAGATCGATGGAGAAACCTGGTCTAAAAGAAGATGGCCAGTTGGGAGAATTGTCAGCCGAAAGACGTCTGAAATCTGACATTCACTCGTCGCCGTTGCAGCTAGTGGATAAGTCCCCATCATCGAGTACCGATTGGAGACGCTTCACTAGATCTGATGTAAGGCAGAGTTTTGATTTTGAAGAATCAACATAGCGAAGTGGTGCTTTGCCAAATGCAAAGGGGTGCTCTTGTAAGGAAGGCAGGGGAAGTCGTGAGTTGGTCATGAACATGCTACCTGGAGAAGAGCATTCATAGGTTGGGGTAGATAATTTATCTGTTTCTTCACCTTTTATGAGAAATGGCCATTTATCAAACAGTTTCAAGTCAATACCAACAGTAGCGCCGCTGCCCACTTGTAATAGTAGCGTCGCTGCAAAGCTGCGTCACGACGAACGCTGCTGCGATTCAGCAAAGGGAGAGGAGAAGAGACGGAAGAAAGAGAGAGAGGGAGGCGTAGTGAGAGAAAAAATGAATTAGGGTTTGTGTGAATTATTAATATTATAATATTATTTAAATATTCAAATGATACCTGATTTTTGAATATACAAATTATGGACCTGATTTCTAAAAAGATATCTTTAAACACCTGATTTTTTGTAATTTCCCTTTTTGGACACTGTTTTGCAATGTAGCCCAATTGATCACACAACTGACACTTGTATAGACTCATTAATGACACATTTATTATCTTACCGCTTTGTTTATTATCTATTTTGAGTGGGTCAAAGGAATTTAGCGGAAAGAGATCTCTAGCTGTTTT